CCTTGCCCCTTGTCAGCTCTACTATACACTTGGGAATTCTGATCATTCACATAAACTTATAGGACCATTGTCTGCCAACCCTATATATGTTCTTGGATATACTCCCCATTTCATAGACATACCTAATCGTTCAGCCTGTCCACCCACCTATCCACCCATATACCTATGTTTTCCTTCACTGACAATGCAGTACTGTATGTGCAAAAGGGTTCATATTTGTTTTCTGTACCTTCTGGAGTATTTCTTAATTGTATTACTTATTTAAAATGAGCCAAGAAAATAAAATAACATAGGTTTTAGTTGCAGGCAGACTTAGATTCCAATAGAAGGAAGGTTGGGCAATTTATTTCTGTAGAGATACCTCCTTGGAAACCTAAGGAGGGGTCACTATGAGTTGCAGTCGACTCAGTGGCGGTGAATTTGGTTTGGTTTTGGTTGGATTCCAAAGCTTATTAACTTTTCTATTTGTGTTTTCTGTTACTATTTTTCTTGTTATTCTCACTTAGAAAATAAACTATTTCTGATTTCCATCTTATTTTCATCTATTAAATAGTATAACTTTGCTTTGGATTGACTCCTCCTTTATTTTTCCTGTAGACACTAAAACAATTATATCTTATATTCACTCCGGCTGCTGAGATTCTAATTACCAGGATTGGAGAATTTAATTTGTTGCATATATGATTTAATTTTAATAGTTAATTCTATTCTTAAATATACCCAGGTGTACTTTCTAATAATGTTTAAAAAAATATATCCAACAGCAAAAAGAGAGCATTTAAGTCTGCAGGCATTGATTTAATTCCACACATATCTAATAATAGAATACAGGTTTTTAAAAATGGTGGTAGTTATTGTTGTGGAGCATGCAGGTTCAAAAACTTTTTGCTAAAATTTCATATATTTTTTTGTCCCAGGCATATGGAATTAGTGCATTCAAAAATGCCTCCAACTGCATGAATAGTTTTCTAGTCTATCTTGAGTGCTAGTTAGCTCCTCTCCCTACATAAATATTTTCGTAAGGAGAATTAATTGGTGCTGCTAACACTAAAAAATTACTTGAAATACTTTGCTTAATACCTCTTTGTTTATCTTATCCTAACGTAGGTTTTCACAGGGTGGTAGGGCACTTACTCTGCACACAGATTTTAGCTCCAGTACAGCATCAACAGGAGCTCTGGTAGTGTAGTGCTTAAGGCACTTGACTGCTAACCAGAAGGCTGGTGGTTCAA